ACTAACTATGATACCAATACCAGTCGGGGTTATCTGTCTCTCGTTGTCTTCGAAGGGTTCATGATAGTTTACAGTCATGACGAATATGAAGGTAACGTGTCAGCCTATGACATAGTTCCGTAATGTCATTCTGTGTCGCTTGAGGTTTTTCTTTGACTGAAAAAACCTCGACGTTATAAGATTTGGCGATTTCTAGGATGCGGTCGACAGATTCAGCCAGCTCGTCCAAGGCGTTGTTTTGGAACGAGACCAGCTTAGCTTGTACCTGTTGAGGAGGTTTAGATAGGAAAAGTTGTACGAATAAGCCATCATCGCGAGTTCTTTGGCCAGTCACCTCTCTCATTCTTAGCAACATGTCTGTCGCAGAACCATGTTGCAGGTTGATATTACTAAGGAGTTGGTCTAACCTTTGTCGATCAGTTAGGTCTCCGCGCTTAAGGATAGATCGTTTAAGAGTTTCGTAAGGTTCCGAAACACCACTAGTAGACATACCAGGTGTGGCGTACCTGTCAAATTCGCCCGGCAGTGCCTTTATTAACGCGGTGAATTATGCACGTGTGTCGTTCACGCCGTGCTTGTTGAAGTCCACCCCTGCATAGCAGAACCGGGCTTCGATGCTATCTGGCCAACAGGGCATTAGTTGAAATGAAGGCGGAGTCATAGTTTTTAACTTAAGTACCTTAAGAGTCTGTTTCGTCATAACATAAATGAAAAGCAGGAATGAACGAGGAAAAAATATTCAAAAACACGAAAAAAATCACAGTATATAAAATTAGTATAAGGCAATAATATACAGAATTCCGAAAAAGGAGCAGACTCACAGTTTACAGTTTGGTGTGCCAGATCACGTCGTGCCCACCGATGAAGATGTCATGGATATTTGGAGTTTGACAACGCTTTAATCAGGAACACCTATTATGAATCGCACCCACCAAATGAAACTGATAGACAGAAGCGAGGAGGTTCGATGATATATTTGATAAGCTATCAATATATCGAGAATCGACTGATCTAAACTGGCTAGCGATCACAAGGGATGTTGATCACGGCGCTCCCACTCGTGACCTGGTGCGGATGCAAGATTGAGCACCTTCAGCAAGGTGAGTCTATTAAAACGAGTGTGTTCAGTATCCAATGTCGAAGACTTATAGAGCTATTGATTTCGGGGGTTTATTTACCGCTACAACACAACTTTGATAGAGTTTTCTGAAGTTGGGAGGGTATCAAAGCATGTTGGATCACAGATATACTTTCTTCTATTTGGGAGTAATAAATTATTGAAATTCCTTACCACATCAGGTGATCCAAGACATTTACTTGTTCTTCAACATAAAACTGATATGCTCTTCATGACTTTGAGGTGCACATTTAACGTCCAGCTAATATTCAGATGCCTCAAAAGTAGTGACCGCAAATTTTAACAGTCCGTGGGAGTAGACTAAAGTAAAGTGTCGTGACAACCTATTGTGCTGGCAATTGAGGGATTATCCATATGGTGTGATAGATGGCAAGTGCTGTATACCGGTTCGACAACTGAGCTAAAACGATTGAGGTGAACAGAGATTGTAATCATGGGATTTCACTTCAGATTCTTGTCAATTATTTCGATATGAAACGCTGTCAGGGTTGAAATAAGTCCTACCATACCGTTTTTAGATCTCGCCAGAATGAAGCACTTTTTGTGCAGATTATCGCAGTCCTAGGCCACTGAGTGAGCTGAAAGGGTTGAAAGCTTTTAAGTATATTTTATGGCCGTCTGAGTTCGGCCTGAGGGTATTTTGGGCATTGAGGGAGAGTGCGGAGTAGTGTTTATAAGGAAGACTTAAAGGTTGAGCTGATGGCTCAGCAAACGCGTAAAGCTCACTTACATATAATATTGAAGGCAGTTGACAAGACACTAGTAACACAAGCGTATGATCAAGACAATTTGGCAAACGATGCTTCAAGTCAGTGCTCTACAATGAGCGGCATATATATTGAAACTGTTAAATAAAGGCTACGGAAAAGCAATACTCAGGTTTTCTGGATAATTATATGGGTCAGCTGGTCAGCAGACTTGGTATCAGTTGCATTGACCCTGATTCATGAGTTAGTATTCTATCTCAGAATTTCATAGTGGGCGTCATAGTCTGAAAGTAACAGTCCTGATGAGAAAATGACTTTTCAGTTGTCGCAAAGTTCAATGTTTGACTACAAGGCTTGTTTAAAGTAGATAGGACTGATTGAAGCATCCATGTAGAATAGTCAACTCGGCTAGGTTGCATGTGACAATATCATAACACAATAATATTGTTAGCCTATGCTGGTTCAAATGGTTCAAATGGTTGTGGACGGAATAGAAGAAGCTTTCGCTTAACAGGCGTCCGTGTCTAGTAGGAGGGGATCACCAAATCCTCCAGGCAGGAACCTAGGTATGTTAACAATAAAAGAGGGAAAGAAATTGGTAAATCATAGTATGATGCTGTCCTTGGTCCTTAAGAATAGGTCAAGTTGCCTCTTGAAGGACTCTTGAGAAGTCGCTTGGACTAGCTCGACCGGCAGCGAATTCCAGCATCTGACAACTCTTAAGGAGTAGAAGTTATGTCTACATTCCGTTTCGCTATGTTGTGTCTCCAGTTTCTGGGTGTTACCCCTTAGGCTATTGATCGAACTAAGCCTAAGTAGGTGTTTAAGAGGATGTCTAGAAGTGTTAATAATACTAAAAGCCATTAATAAATAACCTCTAAGACGCCTATACTCTAATGCGTAAAAGTCTAGTGAATGGAGGTGTTCTTCGGAAAGTTTAAATTTGAGTCCTCGTACTGATTTCGTGGCTGGCCGTTGGATACGCTCCAAAGTGACCTTATCCTTTTGGAGTGAGGGAGGAGTACTATGTTTCCGTACTCTAAATGGGGACGGATGAAACTATTGAAGATTGTATGGAAAGTTCGTCCGTCAAACTGTCCAAAAATGCGCTTCAACGTTACCAGTGCAAGGTTTGCTCGGAAGACATTTTTGTCACAGTTAGCGTAAGACTTTAAATCGTAGGGCACCAGGACTCCTTAATATTTTTCGACTTGGGATACTACTAGAGAGGAGTTTCCCAAGTTGTAACTGTAGTTTGCGACATGTCGCAGATGGACTACTTTACACTTTAAAGTGTTAAAGGTAAGTCCGTTATCGTCTGCCCAACTTCGAAGTCGAGTCAGATCCTCCTGAAGTGCCTACATATCGTCTCGGTTGCGTATCTCTCTCCCAAGTTCCACGTCACCAGCAAAAAGTAATAAGTCTGACGACATGTGTTGTGAAAGATCATCAATATAGATCAGGAAGAGAAGAGGCCCTAGTACTGAGCCCTGGCGGACCTCACTAGGACATTCCATAGCCTGAGATAAAGTGAAATTAACCCTAACCTTAAAACGTCGATTTTTCAGATATGAAGTAAGCCAATCGATTTGAGGTGGTTTGATACATAGTCGTTTGAGCTTATTGATAAGACACAAATGGTTAACCCTATAAAAAGCTTTTGAGAAATCAAGGTAAACGATATCAACCTTCCCCTTGCGATCGAGGATGCTTGTTCATCTGTCCACCGCAGTCAGAAGGTTGGTTATACAAGAGTAACCCTTCCTGAAACCGTGCTGTTAGGGTGAGAAGAAATTTAAGGACAGTAGATAGTCGTTTAAACCGTCGCATATCAGGGACTCCATGAGTTTTGAAGGTAATGACAGAAGAGCCACCGGCCGATAACTTGAAGGTTCGCTGCGTCGACCTCCTTTGAAAATTGGTGTGATGTGAGCCAATTTCCAATTTTCCGGTAGTTTGCCTCGGCTTAGCGAGTGTGAGAACATCACGCTGAGCGGCGTTGCCAGGATTGCGGCTGCTTCCCTCAGTATGGCAGAATGGACTATATCCGGGCCAGGAGAAGTATCTAGTCTTAAGTGCTGCAATTTCCGGAACACCAAGTCAGCGCTTAGGTCTAATCCGGAAAGCCCTGTGGAATTGCAGATGAAACTGTCGTCAGTAAAGTTGATGTCGGCCGGTTGAAATGTCTGAGAGTAATGTGCCGCCATGATAGGCATTCGTTCAGACGATTATTGCATTTGCAGAGTCAGTAGATAGAAATAAATGAATAGAAAGATCATAGTGACGTTAATGAAAAGCACTAAGAATAGTTCATAAATTTTTTGAAACCTGTATTGCATAAGGTGTTTCAAACACCAAATTAGCATGAAACACATGTAGTAAAATAGTTGGATTGTAAGTTAATGAGTGAGACAGAAGAAAGGTAAACCGGGTAGTGAAGGCTATCAGACATAGAAACATCCAATGTGAACAGAGTCTTAAACATTCTGTAGAAAATTCAGCCAATTGTAGTACAACAGAGTATTATCTGATCAAGACAAAGGGATTCTCTTGATATATGTAATTCACTTTTTTATAGTAGGATATCACCGTATAACACACTTGAATATATGCCGTACTGACTTAAACTTGTCAAAAGTATCGTTCCTACAAAAGTATGTAGTCATTTTAAGTGAGATTAATGATCGAATATTATTTCCTTTTGTTTCATATATCAAAATCTTCATGTAGAGGTATCGGTAACTGATTGATACAAGGAGCGTGGACTCCTTAAGAAGAGGCTTCTTCCATTCCGTCCACAAACATGTAAATAAATGTATGTTTATTCACAGAAGTGAAGAAGAAAGTCAAGCTTTATCTATAATAACTGAAGGCACACAAGATACGAGATGTATACCCTATACGGCAACAAACCTTAACCAATGGTGATCGGACCAATAAAAACATTTGGTGTTGTCCAAAAAATAAAATATTCTAAAAACTTTCAATAAGAGTTTAAAATTAGGCTTTCAATGTGATTAAGACAACGATAAGCACATAACACAGAAAGAGGAATATTCACTTCTTTTAGCAAACCAAATTGGCTTTAGGTCACACAGATGCAGGATTAAAGTGATGGAAAATCTCTCTCACTCCAACAGTATTTCAAGACCACACTCAAAATTATTTGGACTTGCTATCTTAGATGTGGCCTTTAAAGTTCACTATATGACCTTGTCACTGACCCCTCATTGGTTGGTGCCCAGACGACTCCTAGTCCGTACGAATGATCACGGGAGTATATTTTAGCGACAGACTTCTTCAACGATGGGCTCTATAATGACAAGTGAAAAACGAATTGGGACTCACAACGGTTGCTTCCACTGTGACGAAGTGCTAGCAGTTGTCCTACTCAAATATCTTCCTGAATACAAAAATGCTACCATAGTGCGATCTCGCGATCCAGACATACTGTCTACTTGCGATGTGGTCGTTGACGTTGGTGGTGTTTATGACCCTGAAACACTTCGTTTTGATCATCATCAGAAGTATGTAGACTAAGGCTTCTTTATCCTTAGTCTAGGGATTTCTCGTTAACATGGTCGCAATATTTCGGCGTGAAGATGTGGGATGTTAAACTAAGCAGCGCTGGACTAGTGTACGTACATTTTGGCAAAAGAGTACTCTCTCTTCTGACTGGCCTTGAAATTGGACACGAAGTACTAGAAAAGATATACATGAAAGTACACTAATAAATATTATAACTCGATAAAGATATATGAATCGTTCATTTTAGAAATTGATGGGCAAGACAACGGTATTCCACAGTCTAAAACTCCATTGAAGTGAGTATTCTCTATATTTTACCGTTCAGGTACAATATAGGCACTAGTTTATATTGCAGAGTTCGACGACTTAATCCTTGGTGGAATAACGAATCAGAGGAATCAGAAGTACGTTTTTGATTCTAGATTCTTAGTAAGCGCCTGGTTCTGAACATATTAGAAACCCGCTTGCCAATCACCTAAGAATTTTATGGGTTTAAGGTAACCTGACCTTAAATGAGATACCATTTATAAGTCTTAATAGTGAACAAATTGTCTATATTTGCAAATACAAGAGTTCAGTCTCTAGGTCAAATCTGGTTTCACAAATGATTAGACTAAATATAGTTTCATAACCGTGTCCCTCTTATAGATTTTAAAAGTAGTGAAAACACTACATTTTTGAATGATTTTTTCGTTTCACCATTCTTTCGATCGAAGGCATACAAAAAACTGCGAACAGGTGGCATGACTTTATCGATAATAAGTTTCATGCCTTGACGTTGGTTCCATGAAGCTACACTAAACTAACACCCAATTTAATAAGCCACGTTTTCATTTAAGTTTTAAGGTTTTCAAGTGTGATAACTTCGTTCAAACATTTGAAATTAATAAAGACGAAAATACCATGGATTGTCACAGTTATTCTATGTAATGCTACATGGATTCTCTGAACGCCCAGTGATTCTGTTTTTCTCAGACTGCGAGTCATAGCTCCGTTGTCCTCAAAGAAAAGATTCAGTGATTAACTTCATAAATATAGTCATGAAATGTTGCTTCGTGGAATACACATGGATTTTTGTAGAGCTATTCAATGTGTGACCACTCAGTGACATTACTGCGATTCTCATGAATGCTGCCACCAAATGTCCTGATATGGCTGAGGGTGGGCAGAGTCAGCTCTTCCTCTCGAAATGCTCTCACATGGACACGCATATACAGCTACTCCCAGGGAAGTCCCACTCACTGCCTTCTCGTGGTGAAGGTGTTGTTCGCGGAATTGAAAGGACGAAAAGCGAATGTCCGGCACTTTAACCGGGTTGGTGGACACTGAGAGTTCACCTAGGAGACTTGGAAAACCCTAATTCCAAACCAATGGTGAACATGGGATCCAGTATCTCGATGGAACAAATGGCGTATGAACCAATCGTTGGTCGCCGGCTACCATGGGACTGCATCTCCTTACGTTGCTCAACTGCCTTGTGGATCAGACTTTTGAGTCGAAAAGCTCCGTGTGTGGCCCCTTAAGAAAACCACCTACTTTGGTTTGGACAGCCCGGTAGTATCATAACCCACACGCAAATCAAGTGACTTGTGTGGCGCATATGTATTCGTTGCCCCTTTGTACCAATATTTATGTGTTCAAATACATAAATAAAGATAAATGCTTAGCTTGAATTTCGTCAGCCATAAAACAGACCTGTTGGGTGTAGCGGGGTTTAGCATCTTCAGCACGTTATTCTCAACTCTGATAATTAACGGAACTAAGCTTATAAAATTAAATGAGTGGTTGCACGGTAAAGAAAATTAACTGATATGGCCCATCAAACCATATAACATAAGTTTGTATGCAATGCTCTCACCATAGTTTTAAGTCGTTCACACAATCTCACGTATTCCTTGTTACACCAAATTACTCTTCGACACTTCTGTATCCATACAAAAACTAAAACACCGGTTGTTTGATCTGGTGACCATCTGGAAGGATTATCTATCCTAATTGTATCCGAGGTTTCTTTGTCATTGTACCATCATGAGATTATCTGTAAGACTCACTTCGTGAGTCGATTTCCATCATAAAATTAGTTGTTAGTGGCCTTTGAACAATTTGTTTGTAATTCACAAGAAACTTTCTTAGTACTAAGATTTTAATGGACTGTTCACAGTTCCTCCAATCATATCTCTATTTTTGTTATGGTTGCTTGTAAATATTCAGTTAGACACTTGAATGAGTTTTTAAAACCTAATGGTTGACGTAATATGCTTACATGGGTTTGTATTTATCATTGCATATTCTATACCATTCTTATCACATCTACAAGTTGTGAGGACTAGTCTTTCATGGCAAATTTATGTTCACCAACTGTAACTTTGTATGTATTAATCCTGAGCTTCCTGCCTGTTTCTTTGTTAGACTGCATTCCAAAGAGCAATCAACTTAGTCAGTCGTGAATTTCTTGATACTGTGGACTACTTTACTAATTGCTGGTGGCCTGCGCGAAATATTGTAGCTAAAGCAATGAATGTTCGTGGAGATGTAGATTCATCGAGAACTATCATAGTACTAGATAGATCCTGTCCATGGAAGAGCCATCTATTTGACTTAGAGCGTGAAGAACGTATGGAAACAGTCGTTTATCCGGAACCACTCCGTCAAACAAGTTATCGTCCTATACCAAAGTTTCCCCCTCAAATTCTCTTTGTCATACTACCATCAGATGGTAATTGGGTTGTTCAAGCCGTACCAAAAGACAAGTTTGGTATTCGGTACGCTTATTTTTTTCCAAGTTTTCCACTGCTATTTATTAAACGTTATCATCACTTAAGTTTGTTGTAAATTCAACATAAGGAATCGTAATTATAATCTTCATGTAATTCCATTCACACCATTGATCTAAAACTATCAACTTCGAAAATACTCTGGTTACCAAAATCTATTTCAGTCGATCAGTGGTTTTTTACATTTTCGATAACAACGGATCTTTTTATAAAGCTGACTTATAGTTGTATTTACACGGTTAAATGCCTATTTATGTTTATTACATTCTTGCCCCCAAATGCCCTGGTACGGCCGAGAGTGGGGAAAGTCCGCTCTCCCTCTCGAAATGCTCTCACATGGCCACGCGTATATAGCCTCTGCCAGGGAAGTCCTACTCACTGCCTTCTCGTGGCGGGGATGTTATTTACAAAAATGAGAGGACGAAAAGCGAATGTCCGGCGCTTTAACTGGATCCCAAACTGATGGTGCACATGGGCACCAGTATCCTGCGGGAACAAATGGCGTATGAACCAATCGTTGGTCACCGGCTACCATGGGACTGCATCTCCTCACGATGCTCCACCACCTTGTGGATCAGACCTTTAGGTCAAAGGCTCGGGGAGTGGCCCCCTAAGAAAACCACCTGCTTCGGTTTGGGCACCCGGGCAGTATCACAGCCCTCGCACATATCGAATAAGATTTGTGTGGCGCATATGTATTTGGTGCCTTCTTGTACCAATATCTATGTGTTAAAATAAATAAATAAATAAACGTTTTGGAGAAAGGATATTCTTTGACTTAAAGGGGATATCTGACTTTCAGTCAGCGAATGTTTAATGTATATTTCGCATCTGTCACTTCGGGCATAATATATCAGGATTAGTCTTCTGGTGTGAACCACTAATTTATTTAGAAAACTGAAGTCCTGCCGGCTTGCGAAACCGTGACACTAGACCTGGCTCGTTTAGCTTTCAAAAACCATGATTTATAATGCCTCTGGGGTAGCATCAATGCTTGAAGTCACTAGCTTCTAGTCTGAGCCATGTTGGTAGATTCAGACTTCTTGGTTGGGGTCAGTGTGACTATCGTAACCAATGGTTGGAGACTCTAGGTGACATGGCTCAGAATCGATCACAGTGGCGTAGGTGTATACACTCTCTGTCTTCCCCTAAACTGAGATTAAAATCGCTTCATATCTTCCTTTCTACGAACTAATTCTTTCCCGTACTATGTCCTTATATGCAGTCTTTATTTTATATATTACCACCACTGAACTAACTACTATAAATCCGGTGTTCATCTTGTTGTACTAATGCGGTATGGCAACTTGAACCGATGCATGTATTTGTTTTGTCCTAGGTTGTAGCTAACTGACTGGGGTGCTCAGCTATTCATTTAAGGGCAAATATATTACACAGGATCTCCGTGTTTCTCTCTTATGGTAATTATCAATCTAGGGCCTAACGCAAATGTATTTCGGCACAAATTTCCACACTCCATCAGTACAATATGGTGAAATAAATAAGATGGATATTAAAGGGTTTCGAACTAATATTAGTGCCACTGATAGGTAAAAAATTAAGCAAAAGAAATATAGCACAAAAAAGGGATTAATTTGCGGATTAAAAAAACTATAGGGCAACATAAAAAGCCGAAATATAAGGGAAGTTAAAGAATGAATGATTCTCCACTGTGACTGATACTTATCCATGTAATTTATAGTCTGAAACCTTTGTTCACCGTGATCGTACGGACTACAATAAGGCAGTCTGCATTTACTAACACTCTCATGCTAACAATCAATGGCTTCATAAAATGATATTATGTTCTAGTTTTCCCCTCCCTAGCTTTCTTCTATTTCAAACAGCTAACATTCTCCGTCTATGTAGTCGTTGTTTGGGCATAAATGTCCCGCCCATCTCAGTCGATAGAGATTCACAGCTTTATCAGCTAATTTTTTATGTTGGTTTATTACTTTACGTCTTAACTGAACATTAAATAAGAAAGAAAGATTCCGTTTATTAACTGAACATGACTGATTCAGTTTTATCATAAAATGAGCAGCTTTCCAAATATTTATATGATCAAGTACTGCAAACTCACTGTTAGCGGGATATAGATTATATTAAAGAGTGTTCTGTACAGGATTGTGTTGAGACCAATCAGCGCCAGTAGATACTTGGAGAAGACCCCAGAATATTTTTGTGTAAAATCATAAAAATACTGACATTTTTCTTATTGTGACTCCCACTTCCACTCGACCCTGTATATTTGGAATATCATTACGTTCATGTTCAACCGTGTTCTGATTTGAGAAATTATTGAGTGAATTAAAGTGTCCAAAAAAACAAAACGATAAGAGTAGCCGGGTCGTAATAAGAGAGATTATAACGCCTACGCACATCGTCTACCTTTAAAATCGATATTTCACAGTTATAAAGTAAAACTGGATTATTGTGCAATATATCCTCTCATTAGAAAAAATATAGATACCTAGTCTACATATAGATGGTGTTATTTGATAATAATTAAGCCGGCTCTCCAAATTAGTATTGGTGATTTCTTTAGACACGAACTCTGCTGCACCGCTCATAGATACAGATATACAGTCATATGTATCTCCCTATTATTGATCATATATGACGAAACCGCTGTATGGATTTGTTATGGTTCGACTCAAAGTCGAAGACAAGACCAGTAAGTCTTGCAAGGAGTCTGTAATTGTGTGCTGAAATGAGTCCAGGAAGTCGTTAATATCCAACTGCTGTTTTCAAGTTAACAACATTCATAAGAAGCTCCTGTGACTTTTGTTATTGTGACCATTTCCTTAACTCTTAATATCAACTCAAATTTTTCAATGTTGTACAATGACTGTAATCATGTACTTAGCACTTCATTTTATAAAATGCTTCGAATAATGGATCAGCGTTGTCAGTCAGTCAGTAGCAACGTAGAACTTCGTACGTACGTACATCAGTTTAAGTTGCCACACCACCTTAGCACAGAGATGCAGTTGTCGATTCAAATCTCGTAGTGGTAGAGGTAGCAAGAGTATAAGCAGTAATCGGGAAGATTAGGGTTTGAAGATGTTATTTAACGAGTATAATTCAGTGAAATAAATTTGGAAAGAGGAAAAAAGGGACATGAAGAATTCAGAAGATTAGAATTTGGGAGAACACAAAGAGTGTATGCACCTGCGCCATTGCAAACGATTTTCAGCCATGTCATTCAGGGTCTCTAACCATCGGTTACTATCATCTCGTGGTCCCCAACCAGGTAGTCTACACCTACCAACATGACTCAGTCCACTTGTCAGTGACTTCATGGACTTGTGCCATGTTTTGGTTTGGCCGCCCCTAGCTTTCTTCCAACCTACTCCTATATCACTGAACATAGCACGTCGAGGTAGTCGGTCGTTGGGCATACGTAACACGTGTCCCAGCCATCTCAACTGATGAAGTTTCACTACTTCATCAATTGATTTGCCATCCTTACCTAGTACCTGTTTCCTAACAACTGTGTTACTTACTCGATGGTCCCATGATATACGAGCAATGTTTCGAAGACACCTATGATCGAATACTAGTAACCTACGGATATCCTCTACTCTTACCGGCCATGTTTCACTGCCATAAAGTAGGACGGAACGAACTGCTGCGCAGTAAACCCGTCCTTTGGTTGATAGACGGATATCTCGCCTACGCCATAAGTGACGCAAGTTGGCAAAAGCTAGTCGAGCATTCTGTATCCGTGCTGAGATTTCGTCACACACCAGACCGCAAGGGCTGATGAGACTTCCAAGATAAGTGAAGCGGTCGACACACTCAACTACTTCACTCCCTATCACTAGTTCGGGTGTCGATGTAACCCGATCCTGAAGCAACATTTTGCATTTCGAGGGAGAGAATCGCATCCCGAACATGCTTGCATTGTTGCTTAGAGTGGTCAGAAGACTCTGCATTTTGTCAGCGTCTTCACCAAATAAAACAATGTCATCAGCATATTCTAAGTCAACAAGTGAACCTCCTGGTAGAAGTTCAACCCCTGGAAATTTAGATGACGAGAGTGTTATCTCTAAAAGTACGTCGACGACAGAGTGGAATGCCGCCTTAAGGTCGAGAAATACTACCATTGTGGGGCGTCTGAATGTGTGTCTGTGTTCTAGAACCTGGCGTAGTGTGAATATCTGATCTATGCAACCACGTCCAGGTCGAAAACCGGCCTGGTTTTCTCTAATCTGCTCTTCACGAGCTTTGGTTAGGCTACTCATTCTAAGTGAGGACCAGTGTCAGATATAGCTAATTACTTTCACTCTTTCTCTTTCTTTTGGTGGTTGCCTGGATTGTGAAGATCTTTATGTCTCAAGGAAAACACGGAATGAAATGAACAGGTTGGATGCAACTTGAGGATTTGGACTTTGCAAATGACCTGGCCCCTCTAATCTGCTCTTCACGAGCTTTGATTAGGCGTCGAAGTATTATTGAGGCTAATATTTTAGACACTATATGTGTCTGTGTTTATGGTTTTGCACTCTTCACTCCAGTTATAAATTTCATGTTCTCTTATTTCTGTCTTATAACAGAATGATTTTTAGAAAATATCTATACACTTAGTTATTCCGCAGTCATAACTTACGCCTGTTGTCCCTCGTCGAGGAGCATATGTCGCTCATCAGCATTCCCCATCAAGCTCTGTCCTGGTCAGTCCTTTCCGGTTGCTGTTCATCCTTTTCATTTCTGCTTACAATTCCCGGTGCAGTATATTCTTTGACCTTCCTCTTTTATGTTTCTCTTCAGGATTCCAAGTTAGCGCTTGTCTCGTAATGCAGTTTGATGATTTCCTCATTATGTGTCCTATTCAACTTCAGCATGTTTTCTTAATTTCCCCTTCAGATGGAAGCTGGTTTGTTCTCTCTCACAGTAGGCTGTTGTTGATGGTGTATGGTCAACGGATATTGAGTATCTTGCGTAGACAATTGTTTATAAATACTTGTACTTTTCTGATGATAGTTGTAGTAGTTCTCCAAGTTTCAACCCCGTACAGTAGAACTGTCTTGACGTTTGTATTGAAGATTCTGACTTTGATGTTGGTTGGCAGTTGTTTTGAGTTCAATATGTTCTTCAACCATAGGAATGCTTTGCCAATCCTCACGTTTACATCTGCATCAGATCCTCTACGGTCATCGATGATGCTGTCTGGGTACGTGAAAGTTCCCACCTCTTCCAGAGTTTCTCCATCAAGTATGGTGGATTGGGTGTTCTCCTTGTTGTATCTGAGGATTTTGGTATTTTCCTTGTGTATGTTGAAGCGTACTGATGTAGAGACAGCTGCTACACTAGTTGTCTTCATCTGCGTTAGTTGGTGTGTATGTGATAGAAGGTTCAGGTGATGTTCTATGAAGTCGAAATCGTCTAGTTGCATCCAACCTGTCTATTGTATTCCGTGCTTCCTCTCAGATGTTGAGGTCATCATAATCCAGTCAACCACCAGAAGAAAGAGAAAAAGGGACAGTAGGCAGCCTTGTCTGACTCCGATCCTCACTTGGAATGCATGTAGGTGAAATTTCTTAAAGTCGACCACAATGATGTAGGTGTATACATTCTTTGTCTGTCCTTAAACAGTGAGATTGAAATTGCTTTATACCTTTATTTCTATGGACGAATTATTTCTTCCCGTATTATGTTCTCATACACAATCTTTCTTTTATATATTACTACTATTCAATTAACTACTTCTATAAATGTGGTGTTCATCTTTTTGTACTTATGAGGTGTGGCAACTAGAACCGATGCATATATGTGCTTGGTCCTACGTTGTAGCTGACTAACTGATTGGAATGCGTCTGTCAGCTGTCCTTCATGCACCACATTGCAGTATAGTCCGTCATATGAATTCCGTATAATGGTGACGATTTCATAATGTCGAAGAAGTTTCCATAATGTTCTCCTATTCACATTGTCAAATGCTGTATAGTGATGTATGGTGACGAGTTCCATTCAATTGATTGTTCAACAATGAACCGTAGTGTCACGATTCGGTCTGCTCACAACCGTTCCTTACGGAATCCATCTTGTTGATCTCGAAGTTGAGCGCGTGATGTTCGTTCATCCGGTTCAGCAATACTCTGTTGAATACTTTTCCTGGTACTGACAGTAGTGTGATGCCTATGTAGTTCTCACATTTGCTCAAATCTCCTTTCGTTGGCATCTTGGTGAGATGTCTTTCTTTCCAGTCCGTCAGCACTTGTTCTTCCCCCCATATCTTTCTGATTAGAATGTAGAGCATCATTGCAGTTACCTCTATGTCTGACTTTAGTGCTTCAGCTGGTATATTTTCAGATCCAGCTGCTTTTCCATTCTTGATTTGTCTGATGACCATTCTAATTTCTTCGATCGTTGGTGGAGTGACATCTATAGGAAGGTCTGTAGGCGCTGCTTTGATGTTTGGTGGATTCAATGGAGTTGGTCTATTCAAGCGTTCCTCGAAGTGTTCCACCCATCTGTTCTTGGATTTCAGTGATTGGCTTGTCCTCTCTATCCTTGACTGGTCTACCATATTTCCTTACCAGTTTCTTCGTCGTGTCATATAGTTGTCTTATATTTCCTTCTTATTCAGCTTTTTCCTCTGTCGTTGCTAGTTCTTCCACATATTTCTGCTCATCAGCTCTAATGCCCCTCTTCACTTACTTGTTTGCTTCTGTGTAGTCAGCTTGTGCCTTGACTTTCACTGTCCTCGTTTAGGTGTTGTTGATTTCTGTCTTGTTGTTCTTCCTTATGGTGATGCTCCTTGCGGCCCAGAACCTCCTGACACGTTGAAGTTAGTGCTTTTTGATCTCTTTATTATTGTCCCCTATAGCAGTTTTCTTCTTGTAAGGCTTAGAACCCGATGTTGAGAGCCATTTCGAATTCCTAGAGTTTGTCAGTATCTCGGAGGAAAGCTATATTGAACCTTGACAATGCTATTTGTCCAGTTGTTCAATGCTTTTTTATAGCTTCATCTTCATCTTAACAACTACCGGTTGGTGGTTATCTGAAGCTATGTCAGTTCTTCTCCTGGTTCTCACGTCTTCCATTGACCTTTTGAATTTTTTATTGATGTGAACATGATCGATCTGGTTCTTCGTGGTGTGGTCCGGTGAGACCCACGTAGCTTTGTGTATGCGTTTGTGTGGGAATATTGCGCCACCTACAACTATTTTGTTGATTGCACATAGATTTGCAAATCTTTCACCATTCTCGTTTTTTTCTCTTAGTCAGTCCATGTCGTCCCATCATATCCTCATATTCAGTGTTGTGTACTCCGACTTTGTTGTTTAGATCTCCCATCAGGATGATGAGATCCTTTCCTGAGCAATTCGCTATGGTTGACTGCAGTCTCTCGTGGAACGGATTTTTATCGTCGTCATTGCTATCATTGGTGGTTGTATAACATTGGATGACATTCATTATGATTCCCTGCTTCTTTGTTTTGAATGATGCTTTGATGATCCTGGATCCACGAGATTCTCATCCTGTAAGTGCATTTCGTGCCTCGTTAGACAGCATTGGTGCAATTCCCTGAGTGTGTGAAGCATTTTCTTCTTCGTGTCCGGAGTACAGCAGCATCTCTTCTGTATCTAACTATTGCTGTCCAGTTTGGGTCTAGTCAGTTTCTCTGGCTTTGGGCACTGTCAAGTTGTATCTCCTCATTTCTGTTGCTATTTGACTGGTCCTCACAGTCTCCCACATTGTCAGGATGTTCCATGTGCCTATAAAAGTTGTTGCTGTGGTTGTTAAAAGGGACATCAACCTCGTGATTTCCGAAGAATCTTGGATTTCACTATGAGGCGTCATAATTCTTCTGAATGAAGATCCTTCAACTCGGTGGGCAGAGTTTAAGTGTTTTAATTTGTTTATTCTGGTTAGCGTATTTTTAGCAAGGTTGTTTTCTATGGGATGGGAGAGTTAACCCCACACCTATCCCTCCTCATTTAAACGGGCTTGGGACCGGTAGCAACCCTAGAAGAGCCATAGGCGGATTCAGAATAAAACAATCCTAATAAAAAATTCATCAAAAAATAGCTTTAGGCCTAATAACGATATTCGTAATGCTGTTTCACTCAAGGCATTTTCCATATGAGCAAGAAGAAAGGCCGACTGTATGATTTCTGTGATGCAAATCTTTCGCTTGCACGGCCAGACAATAATTTATGGACGGACCATTCAGGTATAAGATACCAGGTCTCGGATTTTGATGTGGAATCAACTCATCCTTTTGGCCAAATAGAATTTTGGCATAATAGCTTATATCAGTTCGTGATGACAACCCTAGATCCCTACCCTAACCATCGAACGAAAATCATAATTCCAATTCTTCACACTGGTTTATAACCTCCATTTTGTCCTAGGCATTATGTAAAAACTTTCAAAATCACTTTGGCTTCGCTCAAAAGTCTCACCTCCTGTACTTCAAACCAATAGGTTTTATGGGACAAATGTACTGACAGTATATTTGAAATCAGTTTAGGTACATGTGTCCAAAATACATATGAAAGTAAAAATTTCCATATATATGAAGTGATAATCCATTAATGCTTGGGAGAAGTAAAATGTTTTAGTAATGTTGCTTACAATAAATTATTCATAGTTTACAGATTATGGTTAGAAATAGGTGATCTCAGTGCATACGTAGGACATTATCAAATAGAACGAGTTATTCTGGTTAGCGTATTTTTAGCAAGGTTGTTTTCTGTGGGATGGGAGAGTTAACCCCACACCTAGCCCTCCTCATTTAACCGGGCTTGGGACCGGCAGCAACCCTAGAAGAGCTATAAGTGGAGTTACTGTCATAACTAACTGACATGTATCAACATTCTATAGTCTAGTTTTCGTGCATGATTTCAATAAGTTCTGTTTCTCAGTGATGCAAGCAGAAACGCTACCGAAGGATGAACCAATTGTTCCTAAATCACTAGTATATCCTTCTCTCAAATTAATATTAAAGGTTATTACATAAACTCAGAAACTCATTTTATTATTTACTGCATCTAGTTACTAATTACCACTAATTACTAACTTTCAGTCGATGGATCGCTTGTTCGTATTTCAATCTATCTGTATGGGTTTGAGCAGTCATTGGATGGTTTCATAACGCTGTGTATGAGATTTTTTTGTTTTTTATTGCATTTCGTGCACATAAACTTCGTAAGGATTATTTCTAACCTTTTTCCACAACTTGCTTTATCGAATTAGGTTACCATTCCCTAGCGACTGGCGTTCACTTCAAGGTGATCAATTGTGTGCGATGACTGGAATATCAGGTTGCATTTTTGTGCATAACTGTGGTCATTTAGGTTCCAACAAAACACGTGACGGTGCAATTGAAATGGCACGTTTTGTTGTAAATGAATCAAAACTTCAACAGGAGAATGTTATTCGGACTGCCTTAACTCCACCAAAATTCAGCCGTGGTCGTGGTCGCAAGTCTTTTGTGAATAACCGTAATAAAAAATGTTAGTTTCTCTTTGTTTTGGAGACCCTAATTTCTTAAGAAGAACCGAAGTAAGAGTTTCGAAATTTTTATTTCATTACTGAGTCATTATTTTTTAAGCAATCAGCTGTGTACCTGAAATTTTTGAGGATATCGATATTTATTTTTATTAATTCGTATTGTGTAATTCTTTTATTCTTATTTTCATAACTCACTCGTAAGATTTATGAATGTTCTTGCATTTGCTGTACAAGCCATGAATAACGAAATTAACCTGATTTAATCACTGTTTATACAACCGCGGAATATTTATATTCCTTCTTATTTGTTGATATTTTCATGAAATAACTTTACTTCAACCTGTTTCTCCTTATTTTTTTTATTGTTTCTTTCGTACTTTGTGTTACTTTTCTAAATAAATAAGGAACATGTCTCCTAGAGATTTTTTTGGATAGTTGGTGGATTTAAGGTTGAATGTAGTTTGTTCAATCCGATAATCATGCGCACATTCGAATTTGTATTCTCTTCGTTCATTAAAATCATTGTTTTGATTCTCATATCATGAATTGTGTGGTTGTGAGTTCTTGAATTTTTCGTTGTCATACCATTAAGGACACTGCTCCAACAATTCTGGTTTCCAGGATAGGTCAAATTTAGTTTCTAACCTGGTTCATTCTTATGTAGAGGGGAATTCTCGCCTCTCACATTAGGCTTATTTTAGTTGCCAAAGTTCATAGTCCCAATGATTTCGGATTTGGTAAGGTGACACGATGACAATGTCTTACTTGCCTAATTGTCCATCTTATCCGAATCACAACTGGAAGTTGAGCTGACACCGCGTCCCTCAAGCCGCCAGATGCCGCAGCTACGATTAGACAAAATTGTTTCCGTTAGTAAATCCACTCTATCTTTTATTATTTTGATTACTTTTTTGTATCTAGCTTAGCTGTGTCTGGAACATGTTTGTGTTCCGTAGGCTGTTTTGTAATCACTCTGTATTTCGTATGATAGCCCAACTTACGCTTCGCTATACGACAATTCCGTACATCTCCAAGCATTCTTGTCGTTAACTAATTTCTCTTTTATGAATTTGTAGACATTATCAGGAAGTTGGAGACGTGGTCAATTTTCGCGTAATCTAAAAGCACTTTAGTGAGACATATAAAAATATAATCTGGAATTCAGTTTGCTGCTTTTATAAATACTTTTTTTAGTATTTCAAAGTCTGCTCAAATAGTTTGTTATAAAACGGGACGGATAACAATTTTTTTAAAAGCAATTATACTTTCACTACAACTAATTAATCGCAATTTAGTCTAATATCTTTACACTTCCCATCACCTACAACTGTTCTCGATACCCAGATAAATCATTTCAAGACAAACTGCTAGTTATTGTCGATTCTCACTTTATTCGATGAGTGCCTTTGTGTACACTTTTACTGGTGGTATGCTTTTTGCATGATTGGTTTCGTGGCTCACAACCTGTTGGCCAAATGATTCTTTTTCTTTGGAATAAATAATATACTGCTTCCTAACATTTTCATTTGCATCATGGATTCTAGTTTGTAAATATACTTAAGTCTTCGAATTACCTAGTTGGGATATGGTGTGTGGCTGTTTATATTTGTGTGATTAAACAACGATATAGTGCAGTGATTTTCAAATATATTGACTCGTGTTTAGATTGTAACCAAAGCACATTTCATATTATTTAAATAACTTCGAAACTTACCAGATATCTGAACCTATTATCCAGTCACCGCTACTTAATACTGTAGTTTGGACCAGTTAGTTTTAAAAGATTTCTCGTTAGGAAGTCATATAGAAACGTTATTAAATCAATAGATCAGATAGCTCTATTAATCTTGGAAGTGACCTGATTGTTATCCACTTTCAGTCAGAGATTATTCCCGTTTTTACACAAACTTTCTAATATATAGAGCTATCTGATCTATTGATTTAGGTTTAGATAATATATTCTAATGTCCTTCTTAAAATGTTAATTACCATATAATCAGAAGTGATATAGTCATTATCAATAATATTAGATAATCAATATGCTTAACCATAAATTTATTTATGGCTTTTCACTAAGTGGGTTGAAGGTATCGTACTTGCCGCGAGACGTGAATGTCTTTCATCTAATTCCTTGTAAAGTAGTAGGTAAAGAAGGCTACTGTATAATCCTAAACTATGGAAAAATGATTATTCAGTTTTTATTGATTTTTTTTATAATCCTTCAGTTTTTGTCAGTCAATGTAGAAAAATATTTTCATATTCTACCTGATCTCCACGAACCTTCTAACTAAATATTGATTAGCCAAATTGAAAATAACCACCATATTTGATAAATAGTAATAATTATTTTAATAAATAGTTATTATTTCGCAATATGAAAATATGTTCCAGTGACATAAAATCTCTTATGATGAATTCTTTCCTCATATTTCATATATGTATTGTTTTAAATAATACATGACACACAACGTTACTCATTTCCTTAATTTCTTTTAAATATTTGAAGTGTATGATGGATAAATGATATTTGAAACACTTTCTTTACATACTCCATTTAAATATTATTGGGTACATATCTGCTCATTAAGAAATTTTGGTTATACCCAATCTTCCTACGGTATTTATCTGAAGATAACATTATAAGTATGCAATCCCCAGTAAAAATATTTCACTGGTATGCTTATGTCATTAATGTTGTATTATTGACTGGATTTAGTTGCTCTATCAAATTTACTATTACTTATGTAATCAAAAAGTACACTGTCCATTTAATCAAATAAAATATATAAATATTTATTAGTGTACGTTAGTTATGTGGAGTTGTCTTTTATTACCCCATAGTGTCTTAGTCTGTCATTGGGTAGTAGTATTTTACATTTAGCTTTGTTGAGTTCACATATTTACTGTAATATACCATGCGACTTTTTGGAGAGAAAAAACAACTCAATTTAACAATGAAGTTAACTGCATATATTACAGAAGTTTGTTAGTATTTCTAGTTGCATAGGAATTTACTAATACTAAAGTGGTAATGAGTATGATCATATTGTTGATTTAAAAGACATGGATTAGATGTGTCAATCTATTTTTATATTTGAGTATTCGATTTATTCTGGAGATCCCTTTTTAAATGTCACAAATTGGAATATTTATGCTTGACGTTGGAAATCGTTTACTGTTGAAAATCTGTTTATTATCCACTAAACTGGGTTCATTGTTATCATCATACCATTATGCAACGTGCTTGATAAAAAGAAACTAGATATGGTTATGTATTGAGTGTTTTTCAATCAAATACACTGTAAATGATCTATCATCTAATGTATTAATCAATTATCTATATACATAATATTTTTCATTAACCAGTTGAAAGGTATACATTTTATAATAGCTAGTGTTCATTACTGCCTTGTGTTAGATAACTGTTACTCATATATAGGTTACCAAGATTATTGCTTCAGAATAAGACAGGCAAACAGAACAGAAGAATATAATAAACCTCTCTCAACTTAATAATTTTCTTAGGAATATCATTAAATATATATTAAAACGAAACGGTTTATTATTAAATAATAATCAGGCTGAACTATATCCCTTTGATACCGTAGTTTTACCCCTACTGGTCAACAGAAAAACTGCAACGAATCTTAACAATACACAGAATAAAGCGTAATATAAAAAAATCGACGCTTTGAAATGCTTTAGTTTGAATCAAGGAAAGGACCCATTTTATCTCTGAACAGAATAGTGTGTGCAGATTAGGTTTTGTCTATTGTAATATAATCAAGAGTCTTCATAAAAAATGGTGACTCGTGCAAGGAACATCTAAGCTACATATAATACCTAATAATTTTGATGATATCGAAAATTTACAAATAAACTCAGTTATATAAGTGTGTTATTATCAACTAACATTAAAGTGGTATTAAAAATATCAAAATTATTCAGAAAGGTTTTTAACTATAAAGAAAATTGATTGACTGGAACTTTTTGCATAATGCTAAACCGTACTGCGCTGAAATGCCCAACTATCCATTTATTTAGACTACGCAAACCTCATATTATTAACATATAAACAAACTAACTCAACTTCTTTAAATTAAAAAATTCCCATCCACTCAGATATGCACGAATACAAAAAGTGCTTCATCTTTGACTTGAAAGATATGCATCATTATGGCTAGATATGTTGTGATTGTGCTAATATTATTTGATTTGTTCCTAAATGATATTTACACTTGTGTGAATTTTAATTCAGTTATTTATTTTCTTCTGAAAAACTAACTTGCACTACATTGTGAAACTTCGGAAATTCAATTGAGATTCAACTATGTGATAAATTACTTCAGCTCAAATAACGTCTAATTGTTATGTGATCTATATGTAACATTACATAAGTTATCCCATAATTTTAAAATAATAATTTATGTAACCTTCCCATTAGATCCTATTACTAACACTAGATATTTAGATGATTGATAAGTAAAGTACTTACTATTATCAAACGGTATATGGGAAAAAGTAATGCTCACTGCTGAGGCGTCCCACAATAGGACGAAATGGCCGTCTAGTGCTTCCAGGTTTTCCATGGTGGTTTAGCTTCGATTGACTCATGATCTCAACTATTAAAATTACTATAATATCCACAAAAACCCTTCTGATATGAATCAACATATGCTCACTAGTGACTGGCTTCAAGAGGTATTATCTGGAGTTCTAGTGAGAAGCAATGACCAGTGGAGGTCAACCGGGTCTGTTGTGAGATAGTAGCACACTAAAGACAATAGCGGACGTGTGGCTCAATTTCGTGGATTGGTTGAAGTTAGACAGTAACACTGTTGGATATGGGCTCAGTAGTCTAGAGGTTAAGCGTTCGCGCGCGAGACCGATAGGTCCAGGGTTCGAATCCCGCAGGTGGGACCGTGTATGCGCACTAGTGAGTAGTCCCATACTGGGACGAAACGACCGCCCAGTGCTTCCAGGTTTCCCATGGTGGTCTAGCTTCAATTAACACATGATCTCAACTACTGAGTCAGAAAATTACCAGTTAAAAAGCTGTTTGAACTAATGCTGTCATAGGTAAGATGACAGTTATGATTAATTCATTTTTCGTTTGGGATTGCCTTTGAAGTTCGATTTCAATTTCTAAAATCGAAAAACGTTATGAAATATAGAGAAACCTATTATTATTATTACTACTACTATTACTATTATTGCTGTTATTATTATTATTATTATTATTATTATTATTATTATTATTATTATTATTATTATTATTAGTGAATTTACAGGATCTACAAGAGATTTTCTCAGTACTCATAATAGTATATTATTACAGAGTATTTACACAAGAACTAAATATTTTAATTTCATAGGATCATTCATAGTAAATACGTCTTCCCGTTTCATCGCGAGAATTCGTTTGTGAAGGTTATCAATTTTATTGATTTCAAGCCATTCACAATAATTGTACTAGATAGATTTTACTTTCTATAACAATATGAATAAAACGTCAGTTATACTTAGACAGGAGTTGAATAGA